AATATTCCCAAAGACACGGAAGACAAGGAGGCAAAAAGTTTCAACTTTCGTTCTTCTTCTCTCCTATTCTGACTCATCTCTTCCTTGCCATTGAAATTCTTTAGCTTCTTTCTCTACAGTAGTATATCTCCTGAAATCCCATTCTAACATGAATATCCAAAGCTATTATCCTCTTTGCAGCACATTACACAGCAGATGGTACAAATAGCCCAGCCTATATTTCTGTGATTGAACTAAAAGTAATCTGACAGAGTACTAAATTTTTGGCATTTTTTCAGATGATAGCGATGACATGCTAGAAAAATTTAGCATATATGAAAAACACAATGTATCCCTCTTTTGAAGTTTCTCTTTCAGCAAAGTCTGATATAGTTATTACAACTTCTACTTTTCTCAAGTCATTTCTTCTGCCTGTTTCTCAGGAACAGCTGTCACTTTAAAAAGTAGATTTTTTCTAATTCTGCCATCTCTGTTTCACGTCCTGTAGATTTTACTGATACCTTGATTTGGAGAACTGTTTAGGAAGCAGTGCAAGTGAACTTCAGCCATACGGCTTGGAATCCTGGCTGCACACTGGGAAAGGTTCATTCTGCATCAGGAACCAGGGGAGGGAAGCCAGTTTCACCAGGCTGACCAAAGAGGCCCGATAGCAGGTTGTGGTGATGGCTTGGGTAGGAAAGATGCCAGGAAATCTTCTGCATTACCCAGTACTGATTCACACTGAAATGTTTAGCATCTTCTAATTATGTTAAACAGGTAAGCTAAGAACAGTGAAACTGGTTCGACTCAATGACATGCCTAAAAATCCTTCTTTATCCCTATTTACTCACCAATAATTGCTCATTTTATATTGAAAAAAGAAAGCAATCTGACAAATGGTCTGAAGCCTGATCAGTGGGTTTCATGAAGAAAAACAAAGAACAAAAACAACAGAAGAAAAATTCAATTGTAAATGTAAAAATTAAATTGAATTAAATAAAAAGATTTGAAATGTACCACGAATTGAGTTTGGGGCAGAGGATTTGACTGGTAATTAAAATAGACATATTCACTCTTTGGAAATACTATCATTTCTATACCATCAATTTCTAGGATGAGTTTCTTCCTAGAGCCTCGGAAATGACCTTTCTCTTAGAAGCGTCTGCTTCTTTCTATATCGGTGTGAGGTGCCTCTGGGCTCCATGAGCGATGCTGGACTGGGGAGCAGTTTTCTGAGAACGAATCCCGGACCTCGGATTCCTGGGGTCTCCGGTAACCTCGTGGGGCTCAAGCCTCCTGCTAAGAGGCCAGAGCCCCGAATTCGCGTCCCAGGAGTGAGCAGGAAGGCCTCAGCAGTCCGACCGGGGGACCAGGGTGCGGGATCCCGGTGTGAGAACAGGACTTGTACTGTGTCTGGTTTTAACCATGTGTTTACCTTATTTTTTCTCCCTCTGCCCAACTCTGGTGAAGCAAAAGAGCATCGTGAGAAAAAAAAAAATAGTATTTTGATGACGAAATGTACAAGCGCTGTTCTCACTGAGTAACATCCCAAGTGTAAAACTTTGGAATACAAATTGAAAGAGGTGCCCTCCTTTTCTTCAATTATAACATTAGCATATGCAGTAATATGTTTTCAAATAATTTGAGTCTTTCTAAAATACATTCGATACCTGGGAATCACACAAGTCCAATTACAGCAGTCTGTGGCCACCTCAGAAAGCTTAGCAGGGCAGAAATGCATAAGCACAAGATCCTGTGATTTATAAATCATGAAAATATTATTAGTAGTTAAATGTATATCATTGACCCATGTCTGTGCCAGAATCCACACTAAAGGAATAAAGTTATATTAACTTATTGTGTTGTTACAGCACATTCTTAAAATTGATACTCTTACTATTTACATCACACAGATAAGAAAATAGAAGCAAAAGGAATCTTCAGAGGTCAGAGGGAGAATCCTGGGTTTAAATGCTGGAGGTAAAAAGCTCTTACCCTGTCCAATATATTATTTGGCATAAAAATAAATGCAATGTATTAAATCATTGCTAATTTTAAATATTAAATCATATACTGCAAATGCATGTGTAGCAGTTAAAAATCTGGGAAATATATTTTTGAGGACCCCAAAATGTTTGATAGCATTTGGGCACACTGTGATGTTTTAAAATATTTCATTGTTGAAAACATAAGACACTTATACTTTTTAATTATATGTATGTTGTTTCACCAAAGTCTACACGTGTAGATTCTTCACTGCCTCTTAAATTACTTCCTCCAGAAATTGGTTTAGAGTTCAGTTTTCAAAAGTAAGTGATAAAATTTATGATTTCATCAAAATTGTTTAATATAGAGTGTAAATATGACTACAGGAATATAAACATCTACAGTGAAAATATGTACTATTAACATGGGTATAATTTTGTGTCAGAAACATTGTTTTTAGATCATCTTAAAGATAACATTTTTTTCTCTCATTGAGTTTATTGGTACGTTTTAGGTATGCAGTACAGTTACATTCATCATTGGGATCTTGTACGTTTACGTGACAGATCTTGGTTTTCATTTTTTAACATTTTTATTATTATTTTGCTTAATATAGGTGATTGAGCTTTGTTAATGTTTACAAAACTGAAAAGGTGATTTTTAATGCCTTACAATGTAAATACCCAAATATACTAAGGAAGAAAAAGCTAAGTCCAAAAGAGCAGTCAGGAAGAGGAAACTGCCAATTTGGAACCTGTTTGGGTTAAATAATTTCCTAGGGCATAGCAGTAAGTATACAATACAGGCCAGCAGCTGAGAATGCAGGAGCACAGGCAACATCCCTGGGCAAAATAGTAAAAGGGACAGAAGTCGAAAGGTGAAGGAAATGGAAGTAGAAAAGAGCAAGTATCGAAAAAACCTGTAAAGGCATAAAGAAGCTTTATTCTAATATATAGAGCTGAGAAGAAGGAAATACTACTGATGTCAAAGAATTTTCTAAATAAAGTTCCTGGCTTACATGCACATTGAATGCAATCCTCTTTTCTACTTACCAAAGTCTTTCTTTCTTCTTTTTTAACCTCAGTCTTAGGAAGTAACTTATGACTTAATCCTGAGGAAATAATTTCAGGATTTTTTAATTCAATAAAGTAAACAGATGTGAAATTACCCTTCTTTATAAAGAAGTGCAAAAAAAGAACTACTAGCATAAATATTTAAAACAACGCATTTTAAGAGGTCATCCAATAGGCTTCTGAGAAAAATCTCTTCACGGTCACTGCATGTTTTTAGCAAACGAGCTCACATTCTCTTTAGATCATGATGCCCGATGTCTTTACCATTGTTATTCTATAATAATTTTTATTATGAGAAATTATTTTTTCATAGAATGGCTTTTATATTTTCTTCATTAATACCTGAATGTGCATTAAAATTAAAAAATAAAAAGATATACTATAGAAAAGATACACTCCTGAGCAAGAGTCGGCGGATAACAAAAATATCCTTTGAAACACGAAAAGTTTAAAGCAAATAATCTTGGCTTTCTACCGAAATCTCTGCGGTCACACTTGTCTTTCCAGTGCTTTGGTGATGCTGCATTTCAGAATATTAATCATATGGATTTATTTTATTGTTTTTACTGCTGTCAACAAAATATTTTCATTGCTCCATCTGGCAGTAACTCTCTCTGGAGATGTGGGCTGGGTGGGAAGGTCTGAAACGTCCTTGCCTCATTTGCGAGTCAGTTTATTTTGAATCAGTATTTGAGCCAGGGGAAAGACTGCGAGCCTAGTCAGGATCAGGGACGCCTCGGAGGCCTCGGACAGGCTGCGCTGTGAGCGTTCACTCTGCCTCCGGCAGTCACCTGCTCCTCGCCACCCCCAGCGGCCCCGCATCTTGGGCTCGTGCTGTCCAGAGGATCTGCACTGGCCATTTTCCGGTTCATGTTTCGGAATTCCAGCTTGATCAGTGCCGAACAGTTTTTATTGCAAAACCATTCATTTTTATTTTAGGCCTGTTACCTAGGCGTTTCCAACTCCCACATGCAAAGGCTTCTTGTTTTCAGTGGGTTTTGTATCATTTAGCAGTGTACTTTTGCTTTATTCTAATTTCTTTTTCTAATTTTGCGGTGTTCTTTTATTTAGGATTTTTCACTTCAGCGATGCGCAGTTGTTTTCCTCCCTAGGAGTTCTGGTCCTCGTGGTTTGTGCCACTGACCGTGAAGTAAGAAAAGAGCGAGTCTCACACTGTGGTTCTGTGTGTCTGTCCGAGCGTCCCGACAGAGGAGTGGGGAGGGTGCGACATTCTGGGCGCTCTGGGGCCTTTTCCTCTTTACCGGAAGACTTGAGATGCTCACTAAGGCACATTCTGGCGTGTTTCATTCATGAAGAGGTATTGTCCTTGGCAAGTCAGGCTGGCAGTGTGTGTGTGTGTGTGTGTGTGTGTGTGTAGGCAGCTTCTCAAAACAGACATAGACAGATGCTCGTCGGACCGGCAAGGGGGAGGGCCTTATCTCACCCCGCAGGCAGCAAGTGAAATGCCTGGCTCTTGTGCACGCACTGTTAGGGTGACCCCAAGCCAGGGGTAAGACACCCCCACACCCTCAGCTCTCAGGAGAGCAGCTGTGAGGAGGCTGCGAGCCCTCAGCTGTGCTGGGCATCCACACTGACCCCTTGCGTCCTCCCGCACGACGGCCCAAAGGTGCTGGGCTTTTCGCTCCAGCAGGCCGCCGGGACCCCAGGCCACCCAGAGGTGAGCTGCACGAAATTCTTTTCTTTGAAACGTTAGCCTGCCTCAAATATTATACTGTAGTATCAGGACAGAATAATGTATATTTAAGCATATATATATATATACATATTGTATATATATATAGATTACATGTGTGTTCATGTCAAATATGACACACATGTATGCCAAATGGAAATGCATACACACACTTATACAATGCACATTTAAATTCTTTGACATATTACTTTACCATTTTTTTAATTACCAATTAAATATTGGAATACAAGAGTGGCAAAGTTTGGGATCTTCTCCTTATTGTAGCCTCAGCACACCGCACAACTTTGACCTGTGTCCCCGTTTCATCTGCTTAGCAGTGGCTGTGGAAAGAAATAGCATGCGAACGAAACACGTGAATGAGGGTTGAATGGTGTGAAACATTTCTGTACATAATGCTCAGAACTGCATTTTCACTCTTATTTCTGAACCAGATTTATATATTTCTGTCAACCTGAACATTAACTCACCAACTTTGAATTATGGTGTATTAATTTATTCAGTTTAAGCATGTATTTTTCTTTCTTTTAAAAATTTTGTTCTGATCCACTGAATTCCACATGGAGAAACATACACAGGTGAAATCTTCTCTGATTTTTAAAATTGCATGATGAGGAAAGAGCATATCTCGTGGTGCTCTGCAGCCCACACACACGCCTGCAATCTTGAAATAATTTGCTTGGATTTTGTGCTTAAGCATAGAATGAAGAGAAAACCCCTCTAAGGGAGTGACTGAACTAAACATAGCTGCTGCCTTCATTAGGGTTTACAAGTTTTCACTCAAAAATTTTTCTGGCCTCACCAGACAAAATAGTAGCTAAGATACATTGGTGCATTCAATTTTTATGTGCCAGAATCAGTCACATGAAAATGTTTTAAACTATAAACATTTTAAAATTACAATTAGTCTGACACAATCCTGCCCTGGGTTAAATCCACAGCCTGTCCCAACTTCAGTCTGTGTAACTGCTCCTGGAAACAACTGAAAGATTTTCTAGCGACAAAAATGACTACTTCACAGGAATGTTTCTTATTTCGACACTGTAAAAATACCAACTACCATATTTAGTCTGAGGCAGTAGTCATATATGTAAATGCATAGAAAAAATTTTGGATTAATCATACTTTTAGTTTATAGTTTCTTGTACTTATAATGTTAACTTAAAATGATGTGTCCATGATTTTAATTTATGATAAATGCATTCTGTATATCTTTGTATATAAATTAATTTCACATTAAATATAATCTCCTTTTTCTTAAAAGCTGTGATTTGTGATATATAAATTTTTCTTTTAAACATGTTTCTTTTTCATCAATTTTTTTTATTTACCTATTGCTTCTAAGAGTCTGAATAAAATATCTCTCTTCCAGTACTATTTTATAACTGTGCTCATCTTCACAGAAAGTTCTGAGCCATGCAAAACCAATTTCTGCCTGTCAACCACAACTGAAATCATTTGTCTTTTTGTGGTTGCAAAATTATTTATTTCTGTTAACACAGCCTTAGCTAACCAACATGAACAATGATAATCAATCCTTGGTAGTGAATTTCCTGTACACAAAATTCTTCACTTAAATGAATGAGTTTATCTTGTTATTTCACTAGAACCACCAGCTTCATTATTTACAAATCTGAAACTTACATGTAGAGTGCTAGAAACAATTTCTCACATGGGGAATCTGACAAAAAGTGTTTTCCTATGCTTTCTTTTCAGTTTCCCAAAAAGACTTAGAGTATTTTATAAAATTATTTCTTTTAAAAGGGGAACATTAACCTTAAAATTCCTCTATTTCATTGGGTATCATGGGAGGAGTAAACATCAGAAATCAAATCAAGAAATTTTCCAAAAGTTTGATCAAATTCTCTCATCTAGATTTTTGTCAACTGCTACATAATTCACATTTGAGCCAGGTAAGTGCACATCTGCAATGGGCAAAATTAAAGGAATCCACAACTGAGAAATCGGAGTTTGATTCCCCATTGGGCACTCAGCAAAAGCTGCTGCTCTGTCCCCTTACACGTGGTGACTTCAGGCACAGCCTGGGTTTCTGTCTTGCATCTCCGTTCGTTTTCTATTTTTCTTCCACAGAAAGCCAGGTGACAGGGAATATGGCCCTCCCCACAGCCATAGCCCTGCTTTCAGTCCTTTGTCCAAAAGTATTTCACTGCCGCTCATTGTGCACAGCTGAAGAGATACACAAAAGTGGCACAGAATTGTCCACCTAGGGAAAAACACAATGTGATGAACAGCTAGTTAGCTCTGTTCTTGACATGCTGTGGATTAAGATCCTCAGACATATTATCAGTGGAAATAAGCAACTGAAGGAAAAGTAATAAAGTATACACTAATAACTCCATTAACATCCCCTAAATAACTCCAATATTAATATGAGAATGTTTTAATTTTCATTTTACATGTGAAAGATGGCAGGAAACCTATTATAGGAGAACATATAAAAATAATGAAAACTATAAGTGAAGGTAAAATTATTTGAAACATAAAGTAGTTTAATACTTCACATTTCTTATCAATTTTATGTGCAGAAATAAGTTCTGTTTCTAACATGAGATAGATAACTTCAGGGAACCAGCTATCTTTTGAAATTTTCAATATCCACTTGGTGCTTGCTTTTGATCAACTTTTATCATAATGAGTAACTCAAGTTGTCATGGCTACGTGGTAATTTTTAACTCATCATAAGATATTATACTTTTCCTTCCAAATTTCCTCTGAGTACAGGTATTTATTGTTATCTTTTTGTTAAAAATAGTCATCAACTTTATAAAACTGATTAAAACCATGGAAATAAATAAAAATATGTACACATAAACAATATGTGATACGTCAGAAAAAAATTTATGCATGAGCCACATATAAAATATTTCTGTTTCTCTCTGATGTATCAATGAAAAAGCATATTATTCTGTGGTACACCATAGGAAATAAGACTGCTCACATATTATAGCTTATGAGAAAAACAAAATCAGAGATGTTCAGAAATATCTCCTCTGCAGCTGTAATATTACTGACAAAAATAATTTCTTAAATTAAGCATTATATGAATACCATTTTAATTATTCTCCCAAACAACAACATAAAAAAGAAATTACATTTTATTGAAATACTTTAACTATATATAATTAAAGTATCTATAAACAATGCTAAATACTGTATATAGTAAAACTATATATGTACATATATGTATAAATATATAGGAACAATAAAAGAAAGAAAGGATTAAAGGGAGGGCATGATGGAGGAAAAATAGAAAATAAAACTAAATGCATCATTAAAAATTGTAAAGTGCTACAAGATATGCATATAAATCAAGAAATTTTAATGCTAAATCAAAGCATCATCTTTGTGTATCTATTTTTTATTGTAAAACATTCAAAATGACCTTTGCTTTTTCTTAAAACACCAAAAGTCATGACTGCATGATGCTAGTTCTATTTAATGGAATGTCCTCCTTTCAACAACACTCAAGAGTTTTCAAAATTATGAGAATTATTCAGAGTCTTCCAAAAGGAGCTTTGAATTAAAATAACTTAGGGATATATAAGTGCAGCTCATTAAAATAGTGAACATGGTTTTTTAAAAATGGAATCAGCAAGTAGATATTTTCCTTTGGCAAGACATTGTCAGGTTCTTGGATTCTATGTCAGAAATTGATAAATGAGAAAAACAACACTCTCAGGTCCACTTTGGGTCTAAACTTTCCCATCAGAATACTCTTTTCTATGAATACATGGTAAAATCTATGCCCTTCTCAGAATCCAAAGGCACTCCTTCTTTTAATGCATTTTCTACTCTCTTAGAATATGTATTATATATTGGATTCCCTTGGAGATCCCTTCAAATATTCCTTATAATTTCACTCTCTAAACCATTGTGTTCCTTTCCATAAGTGTTTCCATTATCAGATTATGGATTCTTTGATCTATGTCTTAGATACCTTTCTAGTTACTGAGACAAAATGTTTAGCCCTTAGAGTTAAAAGAGGAAGGTTTATTTTGGTTTATAGTTTGCAGAGGTTTTAATGAATAGTGAACTGGCTGCAAGGCAAGGTGGTGTGGCAGAGGAGCATCTTAGGGGGAAACAGTGTGTGGCAGGGTAGGCAGAAGACAGCAAAGCAAACAGCAGCAGTAGCAGCAGCAGTGATGTAGCAGAGAAGCCTCCTGCCATCCCTTTATATTTCACCTGCCTTTTGGATGGTGCCACCCACACTAAGGTGGGGCACCCTGAATTCTAGCATCACTTCCTTAATCCCAGCATCACACACCCTCATCCAGCCACCTTGGAAACTCCTATGATGAGGTGAGGCTTTGGGGAGATGCCAGTTATAGAAATCTAATAATAAAATCTGGATTTTATTATTGGACACCTTGGGTAAGTGTAGTTTTTTTTTAATAAATGATTTAAGCAATCATATTAAATAACAAAATATGAAAAGTCTCAAAGACTGGGGTTAAAAAGTTGAAGATTTTTGGGGAATCATATTTCTAGAATTTATCTCTCAGGTTCTAATTCTGTTAATTTCAAGGAGGAGCTACTTGCTACAATTTTAATGCATTTATTTTTCTTTAGTATTACACATTAATTTAAGTAAAAATATAAAATGTACATTTTGGATAGTCTTTTCGTACACATATCCCAAATCATCCCAATGTGCAAAGGAATTATTGGTAATAGTAATACAGGCACTTCCATGTAAGGACAAAGAATATGTCCTTAACGTAAATTAAAAATAAGAGTCTTCATCCTCAGGGCCAGGGATTTAGCTCAGTGGTTCTGCTGCCTGCCTCACAGGCACAAGGACCTGAGTTCGATTCCCGGTACCAAAAAAAGAGTCTTCATGTTTTCATTCTGTAGTACAGATAAAATATTTCTGTCATTCATTCCAAAATTTCCTTTACATTTCTTCTCATATCAGCAGTTGTTCTCATTTCTCTGATTATTGTTCATTGATTTTTATTGGAGGTAAACAATCTTCCACACTATTATGTATTTTTATGCATTTTGCAGTTGATAGAAATTTAGTTTTTTGAGAATTATTAATAAAGCCAGGAAAAGTAAGCCAAAGAAAGGAAAGGACGTGAAGGAAGGAAGGGAGCAGGAAAAGGAGAGTGGGGAGGGAGGGAGGAAAAAGCAGAAGACTTCCTCATCTTTTTCTAGAGCATGAACTGTGGAAAACTTGCTACTATACATTCTTTCTCTCTCTGAAATGTAGACAAATATTTTAAATAACTAAATAACCTTTTGCCACATTGAAGACATGAGAATATCTTCCTCAGATATGAGCATTGTCTCTTTGAATTAATTATCCAGGAAGATTAGAGATTCTATCGTCTAGTTTCTCTCGTGTATCATCAATTGATCGATTGCTGAAAGGAGAACCGATCGCCTCCTTACGGCATCCATGCACTGTCACCCAGAGACGGTGTCTCCCATCTTCTTTCCGGCCTGCGCTGGAGCCTAATTTAAGTGACTTTCCAGTCACACATTCCAAAACTCTCTTCATAAAGACACGAGAAGTCTATCTTTCTTTTGAATCGGCCACTTAACAAACACAGGGATCATCATAATTCACGGGTGCATTTAGAGCTTTGTGTGACGTGCGGTTCTGTCCAATCCTCTTATTTGAGGACTAGTTATTGTGTGTCTTGAAAACATGTATGCACAGGACTGCATCTGGTTGACTGTATGAAAGTGGTAATGTTCCCTTAATCTTGGTAAACAATTTGAGAGGCTCAGGGACTACCAGGTTAAACAACAAAGCTTGCTCCCGGCCCAGTAAAATCGTCACATCGGGAGCCTAACGCATTGTTCCGCTACCCTGGTGATCACTTCAGCTGACCTGTCCTAAGACTACAATGAAACTACAAAACAGTGTGCCTACTCAAAGTGAGCAAAATATTCCTGAGTAAAAACTAGGTAAACCCTTTAATTATACTTGCTCTTCGTCAATTTAAAACTCATCATTTTCGGAGGTCTCACAGCTGGGAAACTGATTATTAGTTTCCCGCTAACTACGCTGTGGACAATACGAGGTATCACGGCAGTGGCCTGGGTTACGTCGTAGAAACTTCAAGACCACTTTGTCTGACTACACGTATCTCTCCCAGAGTCTAACGACCCTTAATGGACAACTGAAGGGAATGAAGACTTCTCCTCTGTGTGTGTGTCTGCCCTCTTTGTTGCCTCTCCTTAGTTCAGTTGTCTGAGACTATACTATTGGGTTAATGTCACTATTTCCCGTTGGACCAGTACGCTTTCTTTTGCTTTTTCTTCCCTCTTTTTTGGCTTCCCTAGGTCTCTCAGGTCTGGTATGTTTTGTGCAGGATAATGGTGCTAGCTACACAAAAGTTCAGCAGCCTGTAGGAGAAGTTGACTGTGACCACTCAGAGACCAAATCCATCACAAAAGGAAATATTCTTTAGAACCATGCAACTGGCCAATGGGATCCACTGGTCTTTAGCACACCCAGCAAGCCAGTAAAGATCTGATGCTCCCTTGCTTCTGCGAGCTGCTTGATGACTCTCTTGGTCAGTGTTCACACCTTCAATTCCACTGAAGGACTGCCCCTCCTCCAATAAAACACTGCCTCTGCGAATCTCTGTACGCTTGCAGGATTTGGCCTCTTTCTTCAGCCATCTGAGGATCAAAACATACCATTACCTGAAATCAGCTTCATTTCTGCCTTAATATTCCATAATAAAACTGTTGTCTATTTTCTCTCTAGCTTTGAGGACATTTTTAAGTTTGGGGAATTATGCTTTAAATTATTTGCCCACAACATGCGCAATGCTAAACATTTTTTTGTTGTTGTTCTTGTACAACAGTTGCTACCTCCTTATTTATATTTGATTTGAATTTTTGCCATTTAGGCTTCGTTATAAAGCAGATCATCATTTCTCTACATCTTCATCTTCTTAAACTAAAAGGGTCAATAAGTACTAGACCCCTGAATTCTTTAATTTCAGGCTTTGTAAAATAATTTTACAACTTGATTTTTTCTTGAGTCCTTTTGTGCCCACCAGATTTGTAATGATTGTACCCAATCTCAATCAGTCTTGCTCAGGTGAGATATATATTTGTACTTTCTGTATCTTTTGAATTTGGACCTGATACCCTTTTCATCCTGTAGAAAGTAATTTCGACTCAGTTTGGAACTCAAAAAAGGGGCCAGGAATTTGGTTCCGTGGTTCTGCCACCTGCCTCCCTAGCACAAGGACCTGAGTTCAATCCTTGGTACCTAAAAAAAAAAGAAAGAAAAAAATCTTCTGTTGATTTAAAGTGGAGAATCTTTGCTATACTACCGCTACCTGCCACCTAAACACTGGCCTCATTCTGAATTGATTTTCTTATACCGCCACAGGGATCCTGCTCAACTTTTTCATGAAGCCAATGTAATCTCCACTTTTCGAAATCTTTAGATTTTGAAATGTGTTTATAACATTTTAAACATATAATGTGATAAAGATACAGTTTTTCTGTTCAAACCTATTCAGGAGGGCATTCTTAAGGATAATAAAAATGTGGTTCTTCATGTAATGATTTTGTTACTGGGCAGGAATTCTCAGGGAAGTTGTTTCTTTGTTCTTGGTAACTCACACAAAGATCTGAATAAAAACAGTAAGATTTATTGAGAACAGAAGTACACTCCTCAGAGTGGGAGTTGTCCAGAGAAGAGCCAATGGCCCAAATAGGGGCAGATACTGAAGATTTTAAATTCTTGGATTATGCGGGGAAATTTAGTGGGAGATTTATGGGAGTCATAGCCCAGCAGGTTACCTGATTCATTCCACCTAGCAGGTTTTTAGAAGTGTCATGGCATTCAAAGCCAAAATTACAGCACATATGATGTTGTAGCCTTCCTAGGGTCATATATTTTTGGTATTATGTGTTCCTAGGTATCTTTAGGTGATGGAGAGGGAACTTGACCTATTGGTTTCCTGGTATTTTAACATAACCATTGCTCTGTCTGGCTTCTGAATGTTAGTTGCACATCTCTCTGTTGTGTAATTATCTTCAGTCTGTGTCCTACTTCAGTCTTGCTCACCAATCAGATGTGAGCAAAGTTTATACAACAATAAAAAAGGTTACACAAATAAATTCACATCCCTTAAACCAGTACTAATTGCTAAATGACTCAAATAGCCACAACCTACAACAGAATATTACTGAGACATGCCATACCAATTATAATATTTCATGGAGTGGAGGATTTTTCTACTGGATCAAAAAAAATAAGAAAAGGAAGAGATGGGCATGGTGGCTCACCCCTGTAATCCCAGCACTGGGGAGGCTGAGGCAGGAGGATTGTTGTGAGTTCAAGACCAGCCTGGGCTACATAGTGAGTTCCAGGGCAGTCTCAACTACACAGTGAGACCTTGTCTCAAAAAAAAAAAAAAAAAAGGAAAGGGAAAAAAAAAGATAAAGAAAGAAAAATAAAATGAAGAAAACCATACAATACCTCAACCTTAAAAATTGAAAAATGAGAATTTGTTATGTAGCATCTCCCATTAACAAGGTAGGAGAAGAAAAGCATTATTTCTATATAAAGACATCTCATTCTTTTAATTATTTTACTTTAATAAAATAATGACTATGAGTATTCTATTTAGTCTCTAGAGAAAGTTCCGTAATCTTTTTTTTTCTTCTTCCTCTTCCTCGAGCCAGTTTTTCAGGGCATCCTCAAAATTTGGTCTACAATCGCCTCCTCCTGGCAGAGTTCCTTTTCTCACACAAGACTTGCAATGCGGGAACAACCTTCAGATCCCCCCAGAGTAAGCAACCCAGGCACCAAAACGCAACGGGCCACTCAGTGTGCTGGGATCTCCACTTCCCCACATCAGCTCTTTCCCTGGCCCGCTCCTGTGGATGCCGAAAGTTTGCTCTTTGAGCCCTGCAGTTGCCAGGTTTTCTTTGCTCTTCGGCTTTCCTTTGGGGTCACCCTCAGGGAGGCTGACACGAGGGACTGCTCCCCTCCTGCCTTGGCGTCCCGAGGGGAGAGAGCTGGAACTTCGTGAGCATCTGGAGCACTTTGTCCTGCTTGGTCCTCTAGTACAGCGGTGTCCTGTGACAGCTGCTCGCTTCCCTGAGAGCTGAGGACCTTTCCTTCCTGCTTGTGGCTTTCGCGGGGTTCAAGCTCTGCCCTCTCCATCCGCTTCTTGTGAAGCCCTGTTGGAGCACAGGAGTGGGTTACCCGGTGAACCAGTCAATGGCGTATAAGTTGTGCGGCCTTCCCTTGTGCAGACCTGGGGCCCGGGTTCTGTGAACCAATGGACTCGGGGAATGGCTATGTGGAATGTGAAAGGACAAAGAGCAGTGAGCCAGCATTATTTTCTACAACATTTTTATAAATGCCCCAAAAACAATGTCCAAAGACTGGAACCTGGCTTCTTGCAAACTCAAATGATTGGATTGGTTTTTGAAATAGTTAGTTTTTATGGGCAGTTCGTATTATTTTTTTTCTGAGAGCAAGCCTACAAATTGCAAATGTTTGTTTCCACCAAACCTGTACTAGAGCCCACTGACTCATCACGTACTTCTGAAATCTTTGGACGCAACATTTCAGTGGGTGAAAATACTACAGTTATAAATTTTGAGATCACCTTTCTAGACTATAATATCAACACCGACAATATTCAAAAATCTTGAATGAGTGTAAATATAATGTTATTTGCTAAAACTAAAATTGAAACTCTAGCTTGCAGCTTGCTTGCACTAATTTTGAAGAAAGAACATGAGGCAATGATTACGGGTGGGGTTACGGGGAAAAGCACCCTAAGAAGAGAACCCTGAGCCAGGCTCGGCTTTCTGACCTGGTGTGGAGACAGCATCAAGTGTAATGAGGGCTGCGCCTTATGCAGAAGTCGCAGTGCAACAAATAACTCAGTAGGGACCACAAGTCATATTTGAAAATCTTTTAAATATCACATATATATGTAATATAGTCAAATTAATGTAAAAATCAAGGATGAACACAACACTGATTTTTACAAAAGACTCGATCACATCCCCTACTTCATTTGCCCTCTCCAGTGGGCTCAGCTTGACACTGCATCTGCCCATGGGCGACTTTGAACTCCGGTTCCAGAGTAGGAAGACTTTTCCTATGCTCCTGGGCTCCAGATGTGGTGGTATTTCCCGTTATTCCTGGCCTTATCATATACAATTTCTCCTCATCATCGCACATCAGACATTGAAAATTAGCTTGTTTCGACGTGCTTAACACTTCTCTTTCCTCCTCTCAGGTAAGTTCCAGGAGTCACCATCCACTGTGCCCTCTGCAATTGAAACCACACAGCATCTCCGATGGTGACCTGATAGGGCTGTTAGGGACCAATGACTGTTGGAGGTTTTCTGTACCTCGAAGGAGCTGTGCCTGGGCTGGGTGACTTCCCTGCAGCATAACTATAAAACATTGGCTTCTTCTTCTGAGAGCCTCGGGGCCTACTGTTACTCATTCCGGTAGAGGACACAGAGAGAAGAGACCACGGCTCCC